TGTTAAACGCTGAGGAGATACTATATTCTAGATGCGGTATATTACTAGTATCTAGTGCAGGACAGAGCAATGGTGCATTGGTTGGCCAGTGTGTTCCTGAAATTTTCAGCTGTGGTGCTCATGTGGATGATTCAGGTTCAATTCTGGTCTGCAACATATGCAAATCCCACTTTCTCCCTCTTTTTTCTGTTCTGAACAATTTGATGTGCATTCTGCACTGTAAATCTGTCTAATAAAGCAGAAAAATCCATAAAACAACAATGGAGGGCATAAGTCCGAGTGATGAAAAAGAAAATCATCGAGAATCACGTGGGCTAATTAGAGCGTTAATCTGTCCGCTCTTTGTGTTTATCTTGGATTATTGCCCCTATCTTGGAAAATGCACATGTCCACTAGAGACCAGGATATGACCTGCAGAAGAACTGCAGAAAAACAATAAAACCATCAACTGACCCAGAGGTCATCTCTGGAACATCCCGTCTTCATGGCATCCACACAATGTGTTATGCTCCGAAGCGTGATCCTTAAGGTTAGAGGGTTTGTTCAGATCTCCGACTCTCAGTTTGAGGAACAGAATGCTTGCCTAAGCAAGCATCAGTAAAATTAAAAGGCAGTGATCATATAACTCTCTGACAGCCATCTTTCAATGCAATGTCATGCTAATTTAGCTGGATTTCTCCCCCAAAGCTGCAGGGTCTCTCTGCCTCTCTTTGATGAACGAGCAGAGTCATTACGTCCACATTAATGTCAAGCCCCTCTTATTTTCCATAAGTAATACATGGCGTGTTGCTGTTGTCATTAAACATGTTCTAATTTGTTCGCTATTACAAAAAACAACAGTGTTGATTAATTCACACTTCAAGCTGAACAACCACCACTATTTTTACAAGGTGACTGCGAGTTGCTCTTTTGATCAACGCTAATGCGACCCTTTTTTCATTAATTCGGCGATGAAAGCGGAGTGCTTAATTGTCATATTATGGATTTGCTAGTAAATCTGTATTTTGTTTGGTGGTTTGCTGGCAGGAAAAGCATTTAAATTCTCACATTTCTTGTTTGTATTTTGGTGTCTTTCTCGGGAAGGAAGCCCCTTGTGCAGATACACACAGCGTTCTCCATTACTCCTAATAAGGTGTCATAAAATTGAATTCCATGCTTGGTTTGTCAGAGAGGAGTTCTTATCCTACTCCAATTTTGAGTTTTAATGGGTAATACTCCTTAGCTCTCTCCTCACAATTAGGCCTCCTAGTTAGCTTTTAATGAAAATCAGATTAAAACATAATCTAATTAAAGTGCATTTTAATCCACGCTATCGTCCCGACTGTCTGTGGCTCAGAATCACGCCGGCACACTGTCAAACTCTGTTAGTTTGCATAGAAGAGGAAGGCCAGACTATCAATCAAGGGTATTTACATATGTATGTGTGTTGGAAGACTCGTATGAAGTGCATTTCCAATCGCATTCCCTTTAATTTTCTGGGTGAATCTCAGGAAGACATGCCGGGTCACATTCCACTTCAAAATCAGAAGAGTTTTTTATTTTTAAATTGTAATTTCCATGATGAAAATAAAGCCTATTTTTAGTAGCATTAAGATTTTTTGTAATACAATATTTGAGCACATTTTCACCTCCAAATTACTGTAAAGCTTCCATATTTTTGTTCTTTTGAGTATTTTTATTTATTTATTTATTCTCAATTCTTTTTCGTTTTATTGTCATGACAGTAATGTAATATCTTTCCTACCTCACAGTATTACTATCGTTCTATGGTTGATTAATTAATTTATTAATTTATTTATTTATGAAGAGTAGCATATGCAGTTACAGTGAGTTGCTTTGTCTTGTTAAATTTCTATGCTTTTACATAAATGAACAAATAAATAATTAATAAAATGCATGCATATATATATATATATATATATACACACACACACACATATACCTTAAAACAAAACAGTATTAAAGACATTAGACATGCTATCATGATGTATTAATATACTTAACAATATTTAACTGCAAAATTTGAAATGTATTTTTTATCTATTATAAAAGCATGCAAATCAAATTTAAGAAGACAAAGCAAGTCACAGTAAAGAATATACTGATGCCATTTCCTATGCTTATTCATAATAATTAAGTAAATCACATTACTGTAGTAAAATTTAGGCTTACTGTAATACATAAATTATTACATGTAATATTTTTCCTTTATCACAGTAAATTTCACTATAGTTCTGATTTATTTCTATAGAAGTGCAAAAGTCAAATTTAACAAAGACAAAGCAAAAATAGAATGCTTTTCTATTAGAAGTATTTATAGAACTGTAGAAATATTTACTTTAATACATGGGAAAAAAATATTTATGTATGTATGTCACGATGTGAAAAAAGTCAGGTCCAAATAATGGTCCTAAAAATAGGCTTTGTTGTCTTTATGCAAAATATGATTTCTTATTTATTTATTTTCATTTTGGAGTGGAATATAAGCCATAAATGTTCAGGTTTTATGAGATTCACACTCCTTTCCTGTGCATAAAAATAAAAAGGGCCAAACTCATTTAAAAATAATTGTTGGATTACTTTGGGAATGAATGGGACAGGCCTGCCATCATGAGTGAACTTCAGGGGAAAAAGTGAAGTGAAAAAAAACTCTGACATGCGTGCAAGTGTCACTCACAATCAGTGACAGCTGTCAACTTTCAGATCCACTGATATCCATAATTCCCAGCATTGGAGAGGGTTCACAGAGCGATGGAGTGATGCCTCTCTGTTTGAGCCGTGTTGGCCTGTCAAGTCTTTTCTGAGCCATGACAGTGTAATATGTTTTACAAGCAGAATGGCCAAGGGTTATTTCACAGTCAGAGAGAGCAGGCAGGCCAGCCAGTAAAGCGCCGCTGCACGGGGGAACAGCCATGCGGCGACGCAGCAGATTTAGTCCACCTGCTGCCTACTGCCACACTTAGACGAACGTTTGAGCTGCCGAGTGTCAAGGGAAAAGCGCAAAGGCCAATTTATTTCTGTCTTTGTGTCTGGTTTACATTAATAGGAGATTACGACAAAAGTAGCTTGCAAAGAGAGACCATATCTGTTAGCGTTTTCAGACAGTTTACTGTAATTAAACTCCGGTTTTAATGAGCAAATGCGGCCAGCAGAAAGACAAACATGCATATGAGGATTATGGGTTAAAAAAAGCCACAAAGCTCAAATGTCTTGTCGACAGGACAGCAGTTTCCTTCACCCTGGTGTTGTGGGATGCTGCAAATTTAGAGGTTTGACCTTTGTGTCCCTCGTATGATGGCAAAATAGACCGTTCGCCCCATCTAAAATTCCCTCTGATTTGTAAAAACTTGATTATTAATGTCAGACCTGCAAACTTGAGCCATTGTTTTGAACTTGAGGCTTTTTCTCGCAGTATCTATTCTAAGACACGTGTACCTTTATGACTAGTGCCCACTCCGGGTAATAAAGTGCTGATGCCAGCTTAAAAGAAACTTTAAACACACTTGGTGTAATCAAGGCACAATGCAAAACGGCAGGTCAGCAAAACCAGCCAAAACAATACCCCAAGTCCCCCCTAAATATAACCTTTTTCGGTGCAGCAAATGTTTTGTGTTTCTGCCTTCCCGTACCTCGTATATTTAGATCATTGTTTCTACCTTTCGGGTTTGACTGACCCATTTAGGGTGGTGATTTTGAAAATTAATTTGAGAAACTGATGTGAGGCAACCATCAGAGCAATTTCTAAATGAGGCCAAAATATCTCTAAATGCTTTATGATGGAGCGTATTATCACATAAGTGCTTTAAGATCATGGGTTTTGCAAAGAAGTTGTTTTCCAGTACAAGCAAAAAAAAAATTAAAATTAAAAGCAAAATTGCATGAGATATTAAGACCTGTTTTCAGAGAGTATATATTTATTTACCCCTATATTTTTTTTCATTTAGAATATAAATCTAAGTATTTGGTGAGGCTTATGTTTCAAGAGAGAAGAATGATAATTTGCTAATGAGGTAAAAAAACAATTTAAGTTACAGTATATATATTTTTAGAATAATTCATAATCTTACACGGTTTTGCTTTTCAAGTAAATCATTCCAATCTTACGAGAATAGGGAAGTCCACACTACAACTCTAACGATATCAGCACAGAAGAACGAAAGCTTTGGAGTCACTCTCAGAACAATTTTTTTTTTTTTCAGCTAATGAAAATAAATAAATAAAACTAATCAGAATCCACACAAATTTAAAGTGGCAGATGACAAAAAGGTTGGTGTGGATGCTAATATAGTTATAATTATAGTCATCTTTATAGTTCTTGATCTTGGTGTGAATGGGTCTTAACAGTAGCGCTCCATTTGTTAATGCTGCAATAACTTAAGAACACATGTTCAGTGGAATTGCATTGGGCAAACATCCGTGTTTTTCTAAAATATGTTTCTGGCCATAATTATCTGCTCTTTTATATCTAGAACTTCTGCTAAACATCCTTAATTTAGGCGGGGGGAAATGCTGCTCTTGTAGAAGACTATTAATGTCTGAAATCAAACTTAAAATCTCAAAAGTCTCCTGCTTTACGAGTAAATATTTAGATTTTTTTAAACTGGGAAAAGACAAATACAGATTTATAAAAAATATTTTATCGGTGTAAATGTCTTTACGATAGACATTTTTCTTTTCTGTCATAGAGGTGCCTCAAGGTGTTGTCCTGGGTCTGGTTTCATTTCATTATCATTACTGAAGCTATTGGAGTTTCTGTGCTTTAATTTTATAATTTTTGTCACTTGAAAATGGACTTCATTGAGGATCTTGTATAAGAGCCTTTGGCTTTATATCTGATGGAAAATTATTCCAAGATATAGATCCCATCCGTTTGCTTGGATTCAGCTGCCGCAAATAACAGCAAGAGCAGTACGAAGTTATCAGAGTCAAGTGACTTATCTCAATCATTTTATTTCTCTTTTCCACAATCCTTTTTCTACCCACCCACACCCTATCTGCAGGTTTTGAGACCGCCCGATCTTTCGCTCTTCATGGTGCACATGTGATCTTAGCGTGCCGAAATCAAAGTCGTGCCATTAAAGCAGTGAGTCTGATCACAGACGAATGGGTGAGTAAGAACACACACACACACACACACACACACACACACACACACA